GAAGCATGATGATGAGGCCAAAATGAAACCCCTTGATATTTTTAGAATAGGGTTTTTCAGTTTCATTTTAGAATGGATATCACTGAAATTTCTTTTGGCTTTGATATTATGTTTTAAAAACATACCTTGAAATCCAGAGAAAACATTTAAATTGAGCTGAACTGAATTGTTTTTAAAATTTCAGTTTTCGGGAAATTTTGAAATGTTTGCTTTTCCAAGTTATGGACTAGCTCATAAAATGGAAAAATTGTTTCCTGCCCCACCCCCAATTCCGTTGCAAATAGTGCAAGGCAAATATAAATGGATGTGGAAGCTGAATTGCAACTGTTTGCGAGCTCTGGACAGATCTACAAGTTTTCACCGTTGGCTGAGTGCATCTGTAATATTGAACCAAAATTACGTATAAAAATTGTTAATCTTATGAGCTTCTGTTAAGAACAGAACAAAACAAAGAAAATCTTGTACTTTAATAAGCTTGTATCATCATTGTTAAAAGTGCCAGTAACCTAACATATTTATATAACAACTCCTATTTGATGGTACATATATATACATACGCCTATGGTATGGGTTTGTATATACATGAGATATAATAAATTAATGGCCTCTATCACTTTTATATTAGGAGTTATTGGCAGGCCATACATATTTTTCAAGGGAACAGAGCAAGACCATTGTTTGTTTCCAAAGGTTTAGGTGGGTTCACAGTTCTTCTCAGGCTTTGAACTCTGCAGGTATGTGTGTGTAGGAATACCTTCATGCATTGTTAGCTAGAGAGAAATTAAGTGACTGTACATTGGGCCTGAAGTCAATATTTTTAAATGATCTTTATTGGTTACTGGAGGCTTTTCAGTACATAAATTTAAATTCTGAGTACTGAATTTAAATTCATTTAAAAAAAATCTTCAGGTCACCTTTAAGAGAAAGCTTTTAAAATATACATTAAGTTCCTTTTCTTAAAGATGTGTGTGATAATATGGAAAGCATAGGAACAAAGCATACATTTTTAATAAGAGAGCAATACGAGCAAGCTGAAAGGCTATAAAATGTTGTGCTGCCGGGGAGCAGTATGGCAGGTTTGTTTCTGTGACTAGCCCTGTCATCATCAAACCTCTCACAACAGAACAGTAAAAACTTGGCTGGATTCTCTGCTGTTTTGTTGTTGTATGCAGCTGCATATGCACACGCTTTGCAGTTAAAGTATGTGTCCTACCATGGAGAGAAAATAGCTTGTAAAAGGTTACTGTATTAACATATGATGGAGATTATGCTTTATGAAAAGACTAAATGTACTTCCCTCCAGATGCATTGGCATTTATTTATATAGCAGGGTTCTGTAAATGGTTCATTTTAAAATCTGGTTTATACTCTTTTTAATTTAAAGGAGATTTCTTTTTTCCAAAAGGTGGGGGAGTCAGCCCCTTATTGGATGTAAATAGGTGGAGGATATGACCTGTAAAAGGATCTGTTCTGCTTATTCCCAGTATAAACTGGAGGCTGGAGCCTCAATGAAAGAAAACCGATTTTATACCAGCTCAGGATCTGTGCCCACACCTTCATAACATCCAACATTATCAATACCAATAAAGGGATAGATCATGACTGGTTATCAAACGTAACAGTAAAATACTGTCCAAAGCAGGGGATAGCTACTGAAATTGTGATATGTTGCGAATGATATCAAAGGTTAGATATTATTTCTTATTTGTGACAATGTTTCAGTCCTGAGTAGGATGTTCCCAAGCTGCTAGGGCCCAAGGAAACAGTAAGGGCTTTTTATTTTACTTTCCTATCTAAATAAATAGACCAAAGTAGCTCATATCTCCTGCTGAGCTGTGCTGGCTGTTTATTTTGCTAAGGTTTGGTGGCTCCAAATGTGAGCAGTCAACCCATGAGTGAAATGCAAGCAAATCAGACAATGCTGGAATAGCCTGGCAGAAAAAGGAAGACATGGAAGAGCGATGGGTACATCGTGTACCTTTTCAGTAGGTGTGATGTTCTGTGCTGAAAAAATCATGCTGTTTGAAAAAAGGCTTATAAGTATTCTTTTTCTTTTGAGATGCAAAGGCAATCTCTTCCATCTAAAAGTGCCACTTTTGTGCCTCAAAAGTAGTTCAGAGACTAGATGGGCTTGAATTTGTAAGGTGTCCTGTGGTATTTAATTTGTGCAAAGAAAAACATCTTGGTGGAGGATCATCCCAAGAGCCAGCCCTTCCTTGTAATTTTAAGATGTTATGTCTGAATGTCCAGCAGAAATGTTGAAGCGTCTATGTTCAGATTTCGCTCTTGTCTGGGGAACACATCTCTTGGTGTTCTATTAAAATTCTCCGTGGGTGCACATGAAAGATTTGGCATGTTGAACACCTTAAACTTTCCTTTGCGTCTTCATTTTTCGGCTGCATCATTTAAATCTCTTTGTCTTCTAAGCTAGCTTTTCTCTTTCATTTGGGAAATTTTCTAGTTTTTGTGCAAGCTCAAAACCAGTTTATTTGCATAACTCAGTTCTTGCTTTTTCTCTTTCTAGGAGGAATATAGAGCTGAAGGCATCAGCTGGCACAACATAGACTATATAGATAACTCTGGCTGCATAAACCTCATCAGCAAGAAACCAACGGGCCTGCTCCACCTGCTGGATGAGGAAAGCAAGTGAGCAAGAACCAGTTTTGATGGGCACAATGACTGCTATCAAGTGTCCATCAAACCCAAGACTTTGTGTTGTTTTACCTACATTGTTTGAGAGTCAGATGGAAAATTTAAATGAGAAAGAGATTATGATTTAGCTTGATACTGCTAAGGGGAAGCATCTGAAATTCTTTTCTCTCCTATTTTTTTTTTTTTTTTACTGCTTGCTTAGAAACCAGTCACACAATTGAAGTTTTATCTGTCTCAGTAATGTTTTCTAGAGAGAAAGTTAAATCCCTAATGTCTGTTTCTACAGTCATCATTTCAAAGCCCTTCCAATTATTTGCCTAATTTAACCTCTTGCTTCCAAGACAGCAAGACTAGTAGTTTTTAGAAATACCATACTTTAACATTTTTAGTTAATAGCTTTATTTATTAAAAGATTATCCTCATTGTGGGGAAGAACCTCAAAAGTACCCTTTGTTTAGCCCTGTCCTTTTTTCTGCCATGTCTTTGTCTTGGGTCATGTCTACCTGGGGACAAATTAATTAAACCAAATTAATTAAAAGCATGACTTTCAAGTGGATAAATGAAAGTGCCTTAAGCCCCAGTGCGAGTAATGTTATGAAGAAATAAAGTGGCCTTATTCATTTGTTTCCAAACTTAAGCCAAAGTGAGCTAAGGTTATTTTATTTCTAAATGAATGTGCATGCACACAGGGATTCAGTGCATTTTAAAATCACAGTGTTAGTTAATTCTGCTTGCCTTCCCATGCAGATAGTCTGTAAGGCTGCCTCATGGGATGCGTAGCCTAAATCTATTGAATATAAATTTCTAAATCGTAAAGATCTTCAATAGGAATATATGTGCAAAGTTCCTCCCATATTGTTTTATAAGTAGCACAGCTTCTCTGACCAAGTGATAAAGAATGGGGCCCACCTTCTAACTTGAGAGATTCCCATTCTCTTTCTCCAAAGACCTACAGTTGCCCTCCTGATCCATGGCAGGCAGCTCAGCTACCTCTGTTCTCCTGCCCCCTCCCCACTCTCCTCCAATGACCTCAGGATCTGCAGTAAAAATGACATACTGAGCATTCCCAAATGATCAGGAGATTGGGAAAGTCAGCACTACAACAAGGCAAAGATCCACCGGCAAAGGATCCTGACCCTACACAAATACAGGGGCCAGGTCAGGGTAATATTTTTGAACGACAGGTTAAATGAGATTAGGTTTTACAAAATTACATTTTTTCTTCTATTTTTTTTAATGTGGCAAAGGGTCTTTTTCAATTTCAGTTCGCTGCAGTCAAAAGGAATTAATACACAATGTCCAAGGGCCATTAGTTGATTGTCACTTGGTTGTTGCTCTGATTTTCTTCTCCTCTTCATAATTCTTTAAATCGAGAGCAACTCCCTTCAGTTCAGAAGAGAGATACTGGTGTGAGATGGACGTGGGCATTGTGACTTTATTTTTTGCATTCCTTCAATCATTTTAATATTTCCTTCTTATTTGGCTCTATCAAGCTTAAATACTAAAGGTATGGCTGCAAATAAAAGCTACTGTTCCTAGGTATGTAGATATGCCATGTACCCATGCAGTCTACATTGCGAGCCTGAAGGCTGAAGAGAAATACATTTGAAGTGCATATTAATGCAGGTATTGGGGGTGTTGGTTGTAGCCATGTTGGTCTACGGACACAGGCAAACAAAGTTATTTGGGTAAATGTGATATCTTTTATTAGACCAACTGAATAGTTGGAAAAATTGTTCTTTACAAGCTTTTGGGCACAAGCACCCTTCTTCAGGTATAGGGAGAATCTGCTGGTGTTGAGATTTAGCACCTTACTGTGAATGCATTTATTGCACATAACTGACTCCGGGCTTAATTATGCTCTTGTAATTGACTGATTCTGGACCCAATTAATTGTACCAGGTATCTGCAATTGGAAGTTCCATCTAAAAACATGTATATTGCATAATGCTTTACCAGCAAATATATCACATAAAAACACCAAGTGCAGGTCAGTGCTGGTATAATACCTGTCACTGCAGCAAAAGAAAAGCAGGATGTTCCCTATTACCAATTTATGGTCTATCAATAAGAGTGTGGGGTTTTTCGATTTGACTGACTTCACAACTGCCTTCAATTTTTTTCCTTTTTATTCAGTTTTCCACAAGCCACAAACCAGACACTACTGGACAAGTTTAAACGTCAGCACGAGGGGAACTCTTACATTGAATTTCCAGCTGTGATGGAGCCTGCTTTTATCATAAAGCACTATGCTGGAAAAGTGAAATATGGCGTGAAGGTTAGTCACAATGGCTGTTCACTAACACTGACATTAGTTGAAATGCTTACAAGCTAAACTGGAAACCAGTGTGCCAAGGGTATGAGCACAGACAGGTAAAAATAGGTCAGTTTTGTTTTACTGTGAGGTAGAGGTCAGAAGAAATGATTTATTCCTAAAACTTTTTGGAAGCGATTTGATGAGTGGAAAAAGAGTGGGTGAGAGGGAAGAGTTCACATTTAGAAGAAAAATGTTCAGTAGGAAGCAGAGATGTAGCTAGAAGTAAGGGGAGGAAGAAGGCAGTAGGGATTAATTTGGTTTATTACATGGGGGACATTATACAATATGATGGTTGTAATGCAGAGAATAGTGTCAATATAATGCCCTGGATTTAAGCAAACTATAGTTGCTAACCTGTGAGTGTTATTTAGGCGGACACAAAAATGGAGAGCACAGGGCACATCTACAGAGTTATTTGGGGATAAATGTGGAGGATAAAATGAAAGGCCAAAGCTTGCACCTGGGACCTAAGATTACATGTCCTATAGGATAATTTAGTGTGTAAAGTTAACCACATGCGTACGTCTTTGCAGAAACTAGACCTTAGATTGTGGTTTTGTTGCAACAAGAACTGTCATTGTCTGTACAGTGTCTACTACACTTTATGTATTACACATACATAGATCAGTGGTTCTCAATCTTTGCTGTACTGAAACACTTTTCCTATCACGATGTGGCCACTTTCCCTCCTGATACCTCACACCTATTCCCAGACTCCAGGTAGAAACTCCTTTAAATAAAAGATGACAGTGATCAAAATTGTCTAAAAGTACTTACAGCACTTTGGGGGCAATACCTCCATGTTTTTGGATTTCATTGAACTTGGGGTCAAGTTGGGAACAAATCAATCCATCAGCTACTTGTGCTTCACCATGTGTGACATCAGAAAGTTTAGCTATCAGGGTCATGATAAAATGCCTTCCTTGTTACAGCCAGAGCTACTAGATGATACAGAAGATTAATACCAGAACAGTTTTGCTGTGGTTGGCGCTTCATGGTTTTTCTCAGCTCATTTGCTGATATTCAGGGTTTTGCAATGGAGTGCACTGGAATATGGACTCTTTTCTTTTTTGGATTGCTACTCTGTTGCTTGCATGGGCACTGTGGTCACCTCAAATTGTTGTATGCAAGCAGCAAGTATTTTTCCTCAGTTGCAGTGACAGTGGATCCATAGGCTTTCTGCTTCTGATATTCCAGTGTGGTTCCTCTTGCTGCTTCTTCCCTGGTGGCAAAGGGATTTGGGAAGTGATACAGAGCCACTTTGGTACCTGCCTACTTTCTCCCCTGGCTTACGCATTGAAAACACTGGGGCCAGATCCCAAAATTATCACTCTTGTTATATCTGGTAGTATTTTTCTTCCTTCCTGTGTCTTGAAGTGAAGAAATCCAGGTATGCCGTGTAGCATGGCCCTTTTCCATTCCCACCCCCGCCCAATAACCTTGCAGAGATCTAATCTATTCAGTCCTTGTATAAAACAAAACCTTTTGTACTTCATCAAAATTTATGTAGAAGGTGTCTGCTGAAACACCAAAGCATACAATTTACAAACTTCCCTTGCTTGTTGAGATTCCCTTCTAGGTCACTCTAACTTGTCTGATGCCCTAAATTGCCAGCTGTCAATTCAAATGATTTTCTGCTAAAAGAACGCATCATCCTAATTAAACTGTACCAACCCCATACAGATGTGGTGCCTTGTGTCTAGGAAAAGTGGATTGCATTGCTGTGCCATACTCTTGGGCCGTGTTTCTTGAACTCCTCAAACAGAATTTTTCACATAGTACATATTAGAAATACCATATTTTTTCACATATAGTGTGCCCCTAAGTTAGACATGTCCCTTGTTTTTGAAAGGTAGAATTAAAAAGAAAATCTTTCCTTAAAAATACTGGTAAGTTGCAGTTACTGAGTAGTAGCTTCTATAGCACTCTGTGGGAGGGGGCTGGGGAGAGAGAAAGTATCCAAGTCAGCAGCTATGGAGCCCAACATGCAGAACTGCAGCATTACTTTTGTTTTCCTCTGGCAGTGGCAGACACTGCTATTACTGTATTTCCTCATTTATAATGCACATGCCAATTTCTAGCAACTTGATTTTGGGGAAAAGCTGTGTTTTGTCTGGTAAACAGTCAATTGCATTATCTTTCACATTAGATGTGTTGTTATTAAATAATGTTTTCAACTGTTGAAATTAATTAGAAGTCTAACGTCCTTGGGCATTTTTAAAACGCCCTTGCACATTATTTCATAACTGACCTCATATACATTCACATCAACACGAATATTAAGTCCTCTCCTCTACGCTACCATTTGACATCTAGATCCGTTTTTCCAGAAAATGGCATAGTTGGCAGTGGCTGTGGTGCTTACAGACATACCAGAATGACATTAAAAGTTTGCAAAGTCAAGCACCAGTTTTAAAAATGTCTGCTTTATAGAACCAATGGGGTTAGGATGAGAGAGTTTTTCAGAGCAAGAAAATTTTATGAACTATCAGATGAAGAAGAATGGTGAGAAATTCCTGAACAAGTATTTGTCTTGCAAGAATGGTCAAACTTCAAACCTGCATGCATGCAGGACTACAGGAAGCTGGTTACCAGGCCCCTGCCTTTTTCCCCCCTCTCTACTTAGGATTTCCGGGAGAAAAATACAGATCATATGCGTCCAGACATCGTAGCCCTACTGAGAAGCAGCAAGAATGCCTTCATCTGTGGGATGATAGGGATTGATCCAGTGGCTGTATTCCGCTGGGCAGTCCTCAGAGCTTTTTTCAGGGCTATGGTCGCTTTTCGAGAAGCTGGAAAACGATATATTGAGAAGAAAACTGGTAAGTTGCAGATCTTGGGATTCTACACGCATGCCCATTTTTAAGGCAGATTTATCAACAGTCCCTGATTTTGTGTATTTCACTGTTAATTGGCTTATACCTATCCCCCCTGTTTCTAACAAATATGCCTAGGAGATCACGAATTGCTATGGGTGGGTTTGATTCTGAAAAGCATGGCGCTTTACAGATCCAGTAACATATGCAGCACAGTTTGGAAAGAAGGTTTTTCATCTTGATGCTCTTTGAATTCTGCCTTTGGTAGATGTCTTCATATGGAAATGTGTATGATATTGTAATGGAAACGTAACATTATGAAGCAAAAATAAGGGAACTCTGTTTTTTGGCTGTTAGCAGGAAGCTTGAAAATGCAAAAAAAATAGCGTTTCCCTTTGTAATTTTTCAAACTGTTCACCCTGTGAGCTGAAAGAGAGAGTATTCTCCTGTCTAGCAAAAATTCATTGCTGAGCGGTCAGCTAGAACCACCTACTCACTTTCATGCAGAATGGGGGGGCAGTAAATTAAATGAAAGTAATGGTGCATCATCATGCTGTGGTAGGCAATTCTTGGCTGTACTTGTAGAACATTTTTTTATGTAAAGCAATTCCTGAAAGACAGGTACAGGCTATTACTATTAATTTCTGAGCACAGGAGGGCTTGAAATTCATGATGGAATTAGAACATGGGCAGGGAAATGTCAGTACAGAATTAAAATTAAGCATGGAACTAGTCTTTACATTTCTTTAGTTGGGAATGTGAAAAGATATGCATCAAATAAATTCAGGGAAAAAATATATGGATATGAAAAGCCATCCACATAAGAAGACACAAGTTGCTGTGCTTGTGAGAATAATATCTAAGCCTCTGGGTCAGATTCCCCCAAAACAGCAGGAAACAAAACCAGCATTCAGCTGTTAAGAATAGTTGAGAGAGGAACAGCCCCAAATGAATAATAGAAAAGACACTTCTGATAAATGAGCCTGAGACTTTCTTACATATCAATGCAGGGTTGAGAAAATGAAAAGTTCCACAATGTCCTTTGTAATTCTGAGAGGCACAGGGAAGATAAATTTTGCTTGTGAAGCCTCTGTGATGAACAGTCTAGACCAGGGACTTTCTTGAGATCCCATGTTAGCATCAAGGGGTGGGGCGAAAGGAAATCATGTGCAACCCACTGCTCCTTTATAAAATGTTTCTGTCTTTCCCTAGTATTTTTTTTAATCGCTTTTATGAATCCCAGCTGGATAGCTGGCTGGGCTATAGCAAGCTGCCTAAGAAATTAATAATAAATATGCTAAAACTCTGCCAGCAAGAGCTATTTCAAACACTGCCCTGCTAATTTCAACCCCTGCTTCAGCTTCTCTGTCTTCTGCAATCACTTCTGCCATTTTAGAGTCCTTTAATAGTTACTCTCTAGATTGGGTCAGCGATATAACTATATAGCAATGTGTAGATCAGTGATTCTCAACCTTTTAGACTCAAGACAGCACACCCCTGGGTAGACTCGAGGCCCCCTTCAGAAAATGCCAGCTCTTAGTTTTCACTTATTTTTCTGTAATCAAAAAACAATAGAGCAGCTATGCTCAACATTTTTGCCCAGCAGGCCAGATGGGCAGTGCCCCATCCATCCTTGGGCCGGATCCCACCAGTGGTCCCAATCTGGCACCAGAGCTAGCTCAGTCCTGGCAGCATCCAGCCACTTGGAGGCATTCGTGGGGCAGCGCAGCTGCCACTCAGCCCGACAGGGGAAAGGAAGTGTGGCTCAGCCCGGTGTGGAAAGGGAGCATGGCCTGGCTCCAACCTGGACCTGTGGGGGAAAAGGAGATATGGCTTTGCCCCAGCCTGGCCCTGTTGGGGGGAAGGTGCATTGCCTGGCCCCTGATCCAGAAGGAGGGGAGGGAAGGAGGTGTGACCTGGCTGTGACCAACAGGGCAGAACTTGGGGTTTGAAGGTTTGGCAAGGGGGAGGGTGGCGGTATTAATGGCCACTGCTCCCCTGCCACCAAATTTCCCACCTCATAGCAAGCCCTGTGGGCCAGATGCAGTGGCTGTGGGGGGCTGCATTTGGCCTATGGGCCAAAGGTTGAACTCCCTTGTAATACAGCAATTTTTCTGTTGCAAAGAATGGAGACCACAATAGGGCAGAATGGTTTTTAAGACTATGGATTCCTCTTTGAAATCTTTGGGTTTCTCATGTGAATCATGTTTGCACACCTAACAGTGCTAATGCTGTGTGCCCCCTCGCACCACCCCTGATAGGATCTCAAGGCACCCAGTGTGCCATGGCACCTTGGTTGAGAACTGTTCGTTCATGTATAAAAGAACAGTTTTAGGTTTTCGGGCAGTTCTGGGAGTTTTGATTTTTTTTCCCCATCATGGCAGGAATAAGCAGCGTATCACTGCTTAAAAGACTTCTCATACTTCCGTCTGAACTCAGTGCCAGTAGCACTGAGGTGGACAAGCAGGGCACCATCCTTGGGGGCTAATTGGACAGCCAGTGTGGGCACAAGATTGGCTGTCACTGCTGCCAACCCAGCAGTTGCCCCTCTCACCCTGCTCCAGATATGCTACTGGCAGGATGGCACTTTCACATGTTAATGATTTTTTTTTTTTTAGCTGTATTATTTAGGCCTACACCTGCTGTGAATAGAAATATTCATTGGAAATGGGAAGAGCATATTACGAGGCATCAATCTCAGCTGGTGCCTTTACATGTTATCCTAACAAGCAATGAAGCTAGCCAACGTTGTTAAGCTGTAGTGTCAGCATTCACGCCAAGGAGGGAATGGTGATCCACTGGCAGCATCTCCGATCTCTTATGTTGTTGATCTTTTTTCTTTCTTTCCTTGCCTGTGAAATCTCTTCTTTTGTCAAGAATATTTTAAAAATTAGTTCCAGCATAGAGCATGTCAGTGGTGCCTGCTGCTCTGGGCACTGAACAGCTTTGACATGATAAAATAGGCAAGCTTTGGGACTACTGTCTGGAGAATTTGTTAGTTTTGGTCCCCAATTATTGATGCTGCAGGCTTTTGTACTTAGCACTTTCTTAACGATGAGGCCCTGTCCTCACCTCCCATTCAGTTATCCAAACCAACCTATGACAAAGCTTTGGCTTAACCCAAATTATATGAAGTTCTAACAGGGGTATCGCTAAATAGAAGGTACATGTCGCTGTTGTGCGGCTGTGTCTTGCAAACTGGTACATTAGCTCCCAAAAGATTGCAACCCTTAATGCTATGTGACATACTTGGTTACTGGAGGCTGGTGCCTGTCCACTGCTATGTGAAATAACATACAAGAATCCCCTCTGATAATCCAGTGAATGAATTTATGGCAACTGCTGCCTTTGAATTGTTAAAGGAGCACTCCTGCTTTTAGGCCCTGAAATTAACCTGTCTTGATAGCTGTCCCATAAAACAGCACTCCTCTCTAAGGATTGCATCTGTTTTTCAGGTTTCTTTTCCAACTAATCCTTGCTGGCTTTAATTAATATGAACCAAATGCACCTGGTACAACAAAGAAATGTTACTGGATAACATTCCCCCATGTGCCCCCCACACTCAATATCACCCCTGTGCAATCAAACATACTACTTAATATTACATCTTTTTTAAGGTAGCATGCTGCTTTATGGTCTCTGGTAGCTTTGTCTAGCTCTCCTGTGATTTCTCAGACAGATGCAATAAAAACCCAGTTTTAAAGGATGTTCTGAAAATGCTGCATATTTCTGCTCTGGAGTCTGCAGGATTTGGGGACTTTTTCCTTGTTAGGCCAGAAATAATATACTTGTCTGAAGGTTTATTATAGTGATGCTAGTGGTACCAAAATGGAGGTTTTCATGAAAAATCTCAGCCCTCTTTATAACAGGCTTTGCAAAACCTAGTTTTTGCTGCTTTTCCTTCCTACTTTCCATACTTCTTTGCGTTGGTGATGTTCAATAGCAGCATATAAACACCTTTGTGCTTTGCTTCCAATATTGTTGCTGCCGGGTTAATAACTATGCTCTTCATTCCTGCCCTCTGAAGATTTCCTTTTTCTTTGTGCACACATCATAGTCCTGTAGTTTAGCTCTTAGCCATTTTTGTTTGCAAGTGAGATGAGTAGAAGCAAATCAATGTAATTGTCTGAATTTTGTTGGATACATTTCTCTTCTGGTCTAATAGGTGTTTCTTACAGTGCTGCCAACCCTTTCCCCTTTCTGAATTAAAAACTAAAAGAATTATCAGACTGGTTAAGATGCAGGTGGCTGCAGGGAGAAATGTTTCTGGGAATTGTATTTTCTTTGTTGTTTCCTAATTGAGTTTTCTATCTGTCAGGTTAAATTCTAAATGAAAAGCACACATTTGGGTTTGTTTTTTCTTGAATCATAATGAACTTTATTAGAGGGACATTGTCAAGGCATTTAGGATGCAAATTTGACTGGTTATGAGATATTTGTAATCTAATGGAAGGTACCTTCCACATTCATTTATTGCCTTGGATTGTAACACCTCATTAAAGATTTTAAGAAGAAAAGGCATTGTTTTGAGGTAATTTGCATACACCTATGGATGAAAGTCAATAAATCTTCCTCAGGTTTTTTGGCAGGTTTTTTTTTTTTTTTTTCCCTCCCCTTATTTTGAGCAAGTTGGACAAGAGCATAGATCCTACGCCTGATTAAAGGATTTGTGCTCCTAACTCTTAGTCTCCCTCTGCTGGCTCTGCTACAGTATTCCGCTAACAAGGGCTATTTCTAGCTTGGCTGAGATAAATTTGTAATGCTAATTCATGAATGGTGAAGTGGACAAAAGAGAATCACACGGGTAAGACTAAGCAAATCTTCAAACTTTCCAATCGGCAATACAAAATGAATGGTAGTCAAACTTCAGAAAAACAATAGTTGGCAGCATTCCTCTAAAAGGTTCAGACTGTGTGCGTTGGGGAGGAGGGGGGTTGATATTTTAATGCAGCAGCTTTAAACGCTACACTATATTATACTGACATAAGATAACTTGTCAGTGACCTCATCACATCTTAAATGGGAGCATGACATATCCCAGAGTATAATCCCCTGTTGCTCATTGATTTAAAGGATTATTTGTTGGTACTTCCTCTTTACGTGACGATACACTGTAGAGCTTTTATTTCATTATACAGTCATTCCTAAATCAACAGAGACTGCCCCAGATGTCCTCACAAAGATGTTCACCTTAACCTCTGACCTCCACCCATTCTAGATTCAGTCTTTCTCAGTTTTTATACTTTAGCCTTTCTGAAATCTCCCTGTTTCTCAGCGTGTGAAGAAAGTTGAATGTGCCCCCTCTCCCTTCCTTGATGTTAAGCATCTTGTATTTCATTTTAACTGGAAATATCCGAGGTAACGCAGTGGGGCAGGCCAGAATTTGAGGTGACCTCTTCATGAACACAGGTGGGGGAATGATGAAGTCAACCAACTTAGGTTCAATTTAAGCAAAAGGATTTCTAGAAATGTAGCTAGTAAGAGTAGAAAGTTGTATAATTACAGTTGTTTTGTTTTGGTTTGTGGTCTTTTAGATGACCTGGGCGTGATTACACAGATTATTGTGCTCTGGCTAATAATGGCCTTGAGACTATCTGAATAATGGTATGCTGTGCAGTTAACAAGAAAAAACTATACAGTCACTATGCAAATCAGACCCCGTCAATCACAGGGCAAGGAATTGCCTAATTAATAATGCATGCCTGCAGAGATGCAAATCAGTAAGTTTGTAGTTTCCTTAGACTTGGATGACCTAAAACAATCCCATTCCCTTATCGTATGTGGGATGTCATAAAGCTTTGTCATGAGGTAACTGCAGTTAACCTGTGTCACTGCTATATGTTATAACTGCTACAGATAACAGTTTTGGTGTGTAAAAGGAAGAAAATGTGGTTTTTGAACTATTCTTGTATCACTAGGGCAGTTGGCAGCATTGTTCTTTACTCTTTCCTGATTCCTGCTTATATAATCTCTTTCTCTTCTCTCCATTTTTTGTTTTTATTTTACTTCCCAAGGGCATGATGATGCAGTGCCATGTGCGGTTTTGAAAAGTGTGGATAGTTTTAGCTTTCTCCATCACCCAGTCCATCAGAGGAGCTTAGAGATCCTGCAGAGATGCAAGGAGGAGAAGTACAGTATGGCTCCATATCCCACCATCCTCTCTGACATGACACTCACACATTAGGAAATGGAGACCAGGTGCATTCTGGGGGGGCAGGTGGGGAAAAAAAAATACAAGCAAGGAGCATTCCCGTGCAGCCCATCGAGGTCATCCTAAGTAATTACAGGACACTTTTAGGAAGGGATTTGTTTTTTAGTCCTTTCCTACTAGAAATTCTCAGGCAGAGTTTTAGTGTACAAAGATTTTGAATGGACTCTCTGGATTCTGTGATCCTGTTAACCAATTAGACAAAAACCCCCAGTGTGTGTATCCAGGTTTAATGAATTAAACCTGGAACCATTTTGCTGATAGTTTCACATGTTGCTCTGTGAAGACAGGATTTTGAAGTTGGCAACACTTTTCATACCATTCATTTTTTGTGGTGGCTATGAAAACATCGAAGGCAAGCACAGAGCACTTCAGAACCAGTAGGAATATTTCTAGTGTGATTTTAGGATGCCTGATATAGCTAGAATTTTACCTCCCATTTGCAACTAGATGTAGTCCCTTTCCCTTTTCATAACATCATCTTTTGATACTAACTGCAACTGGAGAAGGTGCCAATATATTTGCGAGGTCTTTCATTTAAATGTGAAAAATTGTGATGCTGTAGGGCAGAGTCCTTTTTAGAATGGGTGGGCAGAAATGCACTTGGTCTCCATTTTCTTTTCACTCCTCTGTTTATTACATAATAAACTAGTCCTGCATGGAAAAAAAAAAAACAGGCACTTCTGCCTGTGTTACTAATTGCTATGGCTGGACTCCTCTTGTGGGAGGAGAAGGGAGTTCAGCAGCATGGAACATAACATCACCTGCCACAAGGAACAGCGCATGGAGATGCAGCATTATAACAATGTATAGGGCCTCCTGCAAGATGCCACAATGCTAGTTGCTCATTAAACACCTCTATGTAATTGTTGCACTTTAAAAAAATCAAATCTGCATTCAGTTGCAGACCCTTCACAAAGACACTGAAATAATACAGTTTCCAGATCTACCTTGTTGCTTACAGGGAAAAGGGATCAAACTTGAAGGTGAACATGAAAATGATGTATTTTAAGTTTTGTGCCTTTATATTCCTCCTTCACGTTACATAAACAGCATCTACAGAGCATGGAACATTGCTTTAAACAATCCTTAAGGGCAGTTTGGTTTCTAAAATGCACATTTTAAAGCTATTATAAGGAGATGCCTAAATGCAACATCAAAAGGCTTTTCCCCACATTGTAGAAATATGTGCGGTAAGTACAGCATTTGCATGTTAGCGGTTCAGAAATATTTGCTTCGTCTTACAAAGCTCTCCCATATGCTTCCTGCAGTATCTTAGAACTGGGAGAGTTAAAGGTTTTCTTCTTCCTGTAGGCATTATCTTATACTAAACTGTTCTTCAAATTTTCCTCCATTGTTACTACTGTTGACAAGCTTTAAAAAAAATCTGGTATAGACTCAGCCATTGAATTTCCTAAGTAAGTTAAGTCTAAGTGGCACTTATAGATAATTACATAGCTCATAGTAGTTTATTAGTAGTGTAAATAAAAGACTTGGAATCCTGATTGATTTTTTTTTTTTTTTTTTTTTTTTTCC